GGCTGTCTGGTATATGGGATGAATCTGGACGAACCAGAGAGTTCATGTGGGAGTTAGAGTGGAATATGACGCATTCTGCAGTATGGAGATGACACCCAGGAGGTGATCTTCCTTGCCGAGCTGTCGAATGGGATTGTATTCTCAAAATATTGGAAGGATGGCGCCTGTGAAGGAGGATATTCTGTTCACCACCAGGGCTACAACAAGTGGCTCCGGAGGTGGGGGGGACCTCCTTGCCGAGCAGTCGAATGGAATTGTATTCTGAAAATATTGGAAGGGAGGCACCTGCGAAGGAGGATGTTTTATTTGCCATCAGAGCCATAATTTGGTAGTAGAGGCAATCTATAATGCCAATAGTTTTAGAAAATCGCACATGTAAAGTTAAGTCCGAGAATTAAGTAGTTGTTATGCTTTAAGTACTAATACATTTGGACCTAAGACTTGCGATGTTGTTGTTCTTAAAAACACTATTGTCTACAATCTATATTCCTGTCTGGACAATACAAATGAAATGATCAAGCACAATGAGCGATGATTATGACATTAAAGTTGGCATTTTCTTCTATCAGATTGTATTCTTGTCCATAACACAAAAAGTTGTCTGCCAAGTGCACTGGGCGAGTGCCGTCAAATTAAAGTTGTCTGTATTGTTCTTATTGGACGAAGAGCCAGGTGCCTAGCAAGTGATTGGGTCCACACCAATGAACAATAACCACATTATGAATTAGATACCGGTCGGTCACAATGTGTCACGAGGTTGGGCTTGTGACTAAGAGTGATTGGGAGTCATCTAAGCCGCATGCATGTCATTTCAACCTCAGGGTTCGTTTGTTACATGACGGCTTGCTGCCTGACCAACTCCCGGGCAAATAACTCCGATAGGCAATTTTTAACGACATGTTCTTGAAATGTTTTCTCCGCGCATCTGGGTAGCTGCAGGTTGTGTGATATGAGACGTAACATGAGATTGGGCGATTGCAAACAGGTCCATCGAGCCTCGTTACACTGAATATGGCGATTGCACAGCAGTGAATGGGGGAACGGTTGTTTTACGAAATATCCAAACCAAGCCCTAATCTGCAGTTGGCTGACGAGATGCCCCCAACACTCAGACGTGTAATACAAACCGACGGGCAATTATAGGTACTCCGGTGGCTGATTGCTTGAGCCGTCACGTTGAAGTAGTTGATCGACTGAACCAGTTTCGTCTTGTGCAATATTGTAGTTAATTAGAAGTGAATCAACTTTGACCACCATTAATGCGATTCTTAATCATAAATTACAACATTCTGCAATAAAAGCTTATATTTGTCTGGGCACAAGTACGATATGCATTTTACTTTATCGGTAGACCTTGAGGCTAGTCGGAGGTTATGCAGATCAGAATGAAGGAAAGAGAGCACAGCACCATAATCTGTATAATCAGCATAACATTTAGATTCTAGCATTACTTTGTTCCACAAACACAGTTGTATACCTAACCATATTTCGGTCCGACTCAGTGCTCACATTTGTGGCCTATCGTCTACACAGTCACTTGACTTGATCACTGTCAAACAGTGGCAGTGCTTCAGCCTGGCTTTTGGAGGTTATGAGTTATCTGCTTGGCTCGGTTTGCGTTTGAGGCAGTGAATCAGAGCCCTCAAGGGCAAATAGGATGGCAAACGGTCAGTGAATGATTCACTCTGCATCAGTGAATGATCCACTCCGCTCTACCTTTCTTCTATAAAGCCCGCGTCTCTCCCTCATCGAAAATCTCTTTCCTTTCTTCAACCACACACGCACACATCTAGCCTTCAAGGCAACCTTTCCACTCAAGCATCAACCACAGCCGCTACCTTCTAGCGTTTGATCATATCCACCTTCAAGGCTCTGCCTGTTGAACAGGTCACGGCATCTGTTCAACATTCGGTAGAACACTCTGACGTTGACGAGCGCTCTGCATCGACACCAAGGCGCTTACAGATTTCCCTTGCACTTTGTTATCTCTGTCCACCCACCCTCGGATTATTCACAGATTCGGCCACATTTTCGACGTATCCTAAGGACAAGTCCACAGCTTCTTACGCTGAAGATTTACCCTGATGTTAGTTGTTCGATTGACCTGACCGAAGTTGATGTTAACAAATGAAACCTTAGCATCTATCATGTCGAACACCGCAGCCGACGCCGCGGCAGCGGCAGCGGCTGTGGTAGCCCGCGCCGCCGCCGCCGCCGAGGTAGCACGGTCGAGGGCGGAGACCACCACGGTGTCGCAAGGCACCCCCATAGACCACCTTCTGTTGTCCGCGATTCCTGCACTTCCATGGCCAGGGGATCATAGGGATGTGGTAGCTGTCAAGATGCGCCAAGCTTGGTTCTATGATGACAGATCATCCCATATACCAGACAGCCTGCGCGGCCGTATGCGTCCTAATCTCTTGGACGATAAGAATTATGTCCGCCTGTACGAAGGGGAGCCAGGTTATATGTTTGGCAGAAACAACGGTGAAGCGATGGTCTTCTTCTTCAAGGGAGCTACTATGATTATTGGTAAGTCAAACATGTCTCTCTGACGTTCTTCATTGACACTCCTAGTCGTCATTCCTCATCGTATTCTCGACGTTGGTGTGCCTTTCCGGAGCATTGCCGAGCAGACGGCTGCCCAATTTATCGCACCGGGCGTTCCCACCGTTGCCATTCAGTCCATGGCAACCGACTTGGTATACGAGAAGCTCATTCGTACGTTCTGGGTAGCAGTCCGTAACGAATCGGCGGCATTGCGGTCGGTCGGTCTCGAGCAGCAGAGAATCGACGAATTGCTTGCTGGCAACAACCTGGCCTACCATGTCGACACAATCATCGCTGCTTTCACGAGAGCTGCTCGACGTGTGCTGGGAAACCCCCGATTCTCACTCCGCGACCTACTCAGCCTCCCTCATGTATCGGAGCAATGGCCAGGTAATAGACCTTGCATCTACGTTCGCTTCTACACACAGCCTACAGATCAGCCTCCGGGGAGCTACAGGGAGGAGTCACAAAGCGACATCAATGAGTTTGTTGGATGTTATGCTGGACAAACTCGCTTTCCTTGGAGAAGACACACTATGCATGAGACAATGACTGAGAGTCCAGATGCACAGAACTCCCCGCATTACTCGGTTGCTCGGAAGTCGACGGCTGACAATCGTCACGCAATCCCATTGCTGGTATTTGATCAGAATGTCCCTGACGCGGTTCTCTACATGGCGGAGCAAACCGTTATCCTCCTGCTGCGCACCTACCGCCAAGCAATGTTTGCCGAAATAGCCCACGGAGACATGTCTTTCTTCCAGACATTGCAGAGAAAGGCGCAACTTTTGTATTCGATATTTGGACCGATTCGCCAACAACTCGGATGGCCGGTTTTGAGACTAAGAGGCTGCAACCACTCGTCCCCTTTGTTTGAGACTCGTGCTCGGATTTTGATCCACCAGATCCCTATGGTTGTTGGTGGTTCGTCTGGCACCCGAACTTTTACAACATACCGAGTTCGAAGGAACGTCGTCTCAGTCCGTGGCAGCAGCCGTCGGGGTACCACTTCTACTGGTAGATTCGGGATCCACCTGATATTCAACAATCCCAGCAACAACGAGCGAGTCCATTTCACGCCCACATTCTCTCGGGAAACTCTGAATATCGAAGGGCCAAAGCCAGAGGATGCCAGAAGTGGGTATCTCGTCGCAGAGATCATGGACGACAAGGGACCACACCCCCGAGCCTGGGTTGGAGTGCCATCTGTTGGCCCTTACAAAAACTTTGACAGGGCGTCAAGCATAGCGCTCCGCTTCGAGTGGTATGATCAGGCACGCCGACAATGGTACTCTGTCTACCTGCACCGACAGACACACCAACAAGCCAGGGAGAATAACCACCATGTCGTGGCGGGCAACTTGGCTTGGTTCGTGAACGTCTGGCGGGTCGCGATGAACATGGTCCAGGTGTTTGAGGGTATCGTCTATCAAGGCGACTTGCCGCCTGGACTCCACAGGCAGCTGGTACTTGGAGATGTGAAGATACTGGAGACGGATCACTTGAGACAAACTTATCGTTGGGTTCCGCGGACACACGTTACTCTCCCAGCGCCATCGTTGGCGACCTGGAACGACAACTTCAGGCGAATGTTCACTCGTTTCCGTTCTGACCTGACTCTGGTCGGACCAACTAACCCCCCAAGGATGGCGGACGACATTATGAACCGGGCGCCACGGGATAACAGAAGCTCGGTATCCACTGAACATAAGTGCGACTCGTGCAACTTGTTTGGCAAAGGTATCCAGTGCGTGCAAGACGAATCAGTAACAGATGCATGGGTCTGCAAATTATGTTCTATTCTGAACCGGCCTTGCACGTTCACGGCTTGGAGCGAACTTCGAGTTTTGTGGGGTTCGGAGGAACCTTATATTCGTACTGGCGTGCCTCTGTCAAAGTATCCGACAGGTCCACTCAAGTTCCTGGCTTATCATCACACCATGAATCCGGATCAGCTTCGTGAGATTCGCGGGGTCGTACTGCCGCTACTCGAGAAGCTGGGCGAGAGCGAAGAAGCACTGCTCATCGATAATGAGGACGGCGCAGAAGTTCAAGTGGAGCGGGAGGTGGGCAGAGTGGACCGGGACTTTGATGCGGAGTGATCCCGTGGAGCAGACGGCAGATCGTCATGCAATGGCGATGGCTAGGATAGATTGAGGATGGGGCTCGTGGATGCTGTTGGTTCAACACCATATTGTCTGGGTAGAACGGGCCACCAGACGAAGCAGATCATCATGGGGAGGTGGTTCAGAGGGTGTGGCTTGTAGATATTGTTGGTTCAACACCATGTCATGTTCATAGAACGAGTCACCAGATAGGGGGGACTGAGGCCGACATCGTGGAATCGCGGTGGATTAACAACCTGAGGCCTGTGGACACCGTTGGTTCAACACCATCTAGCTAGAATAGTCCACAAGAAAAAGTTTTTGTATTTGATCAACGATTATGACCCATCTTATTTTTACCAATTGGCTTGTGGTGAAATGTCTGACCGAAACCTCTAGTTTTGAAGTCATAACCCAACCGTCCTGGAAGGTAGTCGCAATATCCGACCTGATGAAGCTCTTTGACATTCACTGTCGAGTTAATATTCTTCAGCATAATATATGCTGTATTTTAACCAGTTAATTTACTCAACGCCTGAGAACGGTTACGTTAGATGTGTCGATACATTTCAAGCAAGGTCTCCTCTGGTGCTAGGTTACGAAACCCATTTGTGACTGAGAAAACTGCCGTTCTACAGCAACGACTTAATATTTAGAGTTCAAGTCGTTACCGGTTCCAGTCACTATCCCGCTGTCTTTGGCCAAGAATCCCAAACGCGGATGGAAATGCGAGCGCAATGACAATTTTCGCGATTGCCCGGTATTTATTAGTGATAATAATAATAATAA